TAAATAATTGCAAAAAAAGTATTAACAATCACATAGTAATCAGTTACTAGTAATCTTTTTGTCTTTATTTGTACTGTTCTTGATGATTCTGAAGAACAAATAGTAGACAGCAATATTACCATTCGTTTATCCATCTCAAACAACTTTTATTATTTATTTGCCTTCATCTTATAATTTTTTTAACATTCAATTTTTATCCTGTAGTTATAAAAAACAAATCTCCGTTGTATCTTTTACCTTTTAAACCATTTGTCATTTCTACTACAACTTTTTCCAAGTCGTACTGGACCTCGTCTGACTTGCTGCCTGCGTATATTTGAAATGCAGATGCATGTCCATACAAATGGAATTGAATTCCCGATTTATAGGTTTCTATGGCTATATTTAACCATACTTTGTCTAGAAATTGCCTTTACAACTAAGATAACCGTTGATTCCTAGTAAAATATTCCCAGAAAAATCTTTATTTGTTGCTATTGTATATTAGGAAACTGTAAAAAACGCTTATTGTTACAAATATTTCTTTGTACTATATTTTTGGAATAAATTCCAAGCGTACCTATGACTACAAGCAATGATCAATACATGTATAGTTTTCCTCTTTCTTTCTCCAGCTGGAACATGACGTTACCAAAGAAATTGTATAACGATGTTACTATTGAATTCTTGTTTTACTCCTCATAGATGTCAATGTGAATAGTACACTCTTCGCCAATACGATGTGACGTTTAAAGATATGTCGCTGCTTTTAAAGACATGTTTTGATATGTTTTCGTTATGCTCGTATCGAAATGATATGTTTCGCATATCTTTTTAAATAAAAACTCGACGCTATTATTAATTTCGTAGTTGAAAAACTAGTTGTGAATTAGAACTCACAGCATCTTTCATACTGTTCTAACTACAATTCTTTAGCTGCAGATGCAATTTATTTATTTATTATCTCCAAAACGTTAAAATTGTTATAAATTTAATGCCGCGAGACAAAAAAAGACGGGTACACTGTTATGTACAGTAATATAACCAATAAATAGGATTATACTTACCGTTGTTGCAGTTATCAAAATAAAATAAAAATTGATTCATTTACATTAATTACTTATGTCCTACTAACTCAAGTATTTCTTTTACTCGTAATCAGTATAAAATTAAATACGAACACTGTTTCCATGTAGATGTCGCACGCAAATGGTTGTTTTAGGTAAATAGCTTTTTCCTAGTCAGATACTATCTGCTTAGGCAAATAGTTTTATTCTATAACTCTATAACCAACCCAACCCAACCCCAGGAATGCTTTCTTTAACAGAAGCCTGCACTTCACAGTCATTGTTTTCTGGGCAAGGAATGTCAAAATGCCAGTGTCAGCCTTCGAAATTTCAGTGCAGAACAAAAAAGTGTACTTGTTTCAAAAATAAGATGATGTGCAAGCAGCCCTCTAGTAGATGATATTCCAGCAACAATTATCAAAACAAGTAAAGTTTTGTATTTAGTATTTAAGTCTTCAAGAAATAAATCGTTTATTTGCATTTTTATTAAACTTAATAAAAGTATATGCCTTTTGTTATAAGTGTTATGCATTTTTTGAAAATGATACGCAAATAATTTAACTCGTTTGATTGACACTCATTAGTGACTTTAATTTAACTTCTTTATGTAACTACTTACTACTTTATTTTATTGTGAACAGGTACCTACTCTCTATTGAATTGTTGTATTTGCCTAAAACAAGCTTAGACAGATACTATTTGTCTTGTCCAATAGTATTTGCCTAGACATTTAATGACAAAACTGTAACGAACTACTGTTTGCCTAGGCAGACAGTATCTGACCAGGAAAATGCTATCTACCTGAATTAACCATTTGCCTGCGACATAGATATAACTTTTTTTCGTTGTTAAAAGCTTTTCAAAAATAAAATTAAGCTTTTTAAAATTTTTTTTGGTTGACTTTGCATTATTTTCACTATGTGCAATCACATATTTCGAAACCGAAAACTGTCAGTAAATAATGAGAATAGCAAATCTCTTTTATCTCAAAAAATACTCAAAACCTTTACCGAAACACTCTTTTTCCACGCAAAATATAACTTTTTACCCTTAAAACTATTTTGATGATTGTAACTAAATGCCCAAAATAAGGACATATTGGCGGTTTTCACAAATAAATAAATTAAGCAGATTCCCTTTCAAAATAAAGGTCTTTTATAGAACGAATAGGGCATAAAGAAGCATTCGATAATGGTTCCACCCCCATTCTGGCACCTGTCCTTATGAGGTTTAGAAAAATTTCTAAACAGATATCCGGTCTAAGGTTTCAACGGCCGGATAGTGTCGGGTATCCGTCACAACCACAAACCATCCCTTACTAGCTCAAGATCCATAGTTCCTCGTCTCGGCTGATGGCAGTTAATCCTAAATGTTATCCTATTATTTATCTAAATTAATCCTTGTCAAATATTACATTTCCGTGGTTATCTCGCTCTATTATAGCTTCGTCTTTTTCTTTGATCTGCACCATTTCCCTTAAAAAAGGGCTACTCTGTTTCACTTATCTTTATCTTTAAGCGTGGTTATATGTTCTGTGCTGTAGATTATTAAAGTACGAAGGTAGTACCAGTATATGTCGAATTCATTATTCTTCATTTCTTTGAGATATGTATCAAAAGGTCCATGATTCGAAACCGCGTGTGAACTCGTGTTAGATTATAATGTCCATATTCTATTACCTATGTTTACTCCAAGCAGGATTGAAGTGAACCATTTAATTTGCAGGACACAATCATTTCACTTTTCCTACCACTACTACAGCAGGTTTTTTACACTACTTATTCTGCGCTACATTTTACATTTTTGTACTTTTCGTTTCATTCTTGGACTAATAAGATGGTATTATTTTTCCGACTGGTACTCGTGTGCATCAAATCTGAGTTCCTCATCAAGGTTATCACTTTCTTAATCTGTTTTTAATCTGCCATCCATATAGTTATCCCTTGGTATACATGTATGTTATAATCCTAGTACTCATGTCATCGCCACAGCATTTTTTTCAATCACATCAGATCCATGTAGTATTCCTCTATTCACGTCATAGACAACATTAACAATAAATTATAAATCTCAGGTAGAATTGTGCTTTTTTTTCTCTGTAACTGCCTTTTTAACATCAAACTGCTTTCTTAATTTTAAGTGCTTATTGTTCATATGATACTAAGTTTTCCTTTTTTCCTCAAGCGTTGAGGAGATATATGAGTCTGTACTGATTCGATGATGGATTAATGGTCTTTTTTTAGTTTGACAATCAAGACCAGCCTAGCTTTTTGCCATACGTTAGAAATATTTTGAGACATTTTTGGACAGTTTTTATGATGATTGTTACCACCTCTGCGTATATAAATCAAAATTAATCAGGATTCCTTAGTTTGGAGTAAATGATGTCAAAATCTCACCCTTAACCGTGATATACCTCACTCTATTGTCCTTAATCTGGTCATCTGAAACCAGATCTTGCAAACTATACGAAATGGTTCAACTGCTCATTACGTAGGTGATATCTCCCATAATAAACAAATTTCCTCTTATTTGTATTCAGGCATAACAACTAACACCCATATATCTTAACAATTTTAAAATTTGAGTTAACTAATCTTACAGCAATGTTGCAAAATGACACAAATTCATCGCCTATTTGTATTTTGACTCTATTTAGTTCAAAGAACAACACAATGTCAATTTTATGCATTTCGAATTGTTACTTTTCGAAGTAAAACAAAACATCTATTATGTAGTTATCGCACGGAATTTCACATATTCATCATAGTATAGATTGGTAGAAAATTGTTAGATAATAGAAAAAATCAAATATATTTTCTATATTAACCTACTTTAATATCTTACAATTTTTATGTTTCATATCTATGTGGGATAGGAAAGTGGTCCCACTTCTATCTAAAACAGTTTTATAATAAATCAATTGGATACGAATAGATTTCCTCAATTTTGAAAGCTTTCATTTTGGAATCTTTTTAAAATGAAATAGTACTCGACCTGATTTTGTAAGAGCTGTGTTGAAATTAGTCAAAATATCAAGAAAAGGTTACTTGAACTAATGGAATCGTCGCTTAAATCTTTAACTGTATAAAAAATGTTAAAAACCTAAATTAACTTTTATTTTTAGTTGTTTTTGGAAAGTGTAGAATTGTATTCAAACGATGTTTTCGTAACAATCAAGTTTGTAATGCACGAAATACAATGGGCCCGTTTTCGTTACGAAACTCGTTCGAAACCAAATCTTGTCAGTTTTGAGATATCATCACCTTTCCCATTACGTCTATTCGCATTCTTGTTTTCCGTATTTCGTTCGTATTTCTAGGAATGTATTGTTCGCGATAGCAACAATCGTACGTGTTGGTACTAAAAATGTATCGTTTCTCTTTTTTTAGGTTACCGATAAATTTAGCTGGTATTTTTTTTTTCGAGGCGATAAAACGGTTACTATCGTAAATGAATAATGAACTACCAAGTGGGTAATATTTCGTTTTTAAGCCGCTTTAAAGATGTTGGACATCAGTATCCTTAACCAACTTTCGTGCTATCATGTGTCTCATAAATCGTTATAAGAATAAGTTTATTAAATAACTACCACTGTACCTGTTTACAATTATTAAGGTTACGAATTAATTAGACACATTAAATTAAAAAGTCAAAAACATTAAACGAGATGGTTTTACAGTTATGCGAGTCATGATCGTTAGATAGGATTACCATAATAAAAAAATCGGAGTTACTACAGTTAGGCCGGGCCTTGATATAATTACCGCTTCGCTGGTTAACAATAATAATTATTATCCTACCTTCTAGTTCTCCTATTGTATACACCCCGTTTGGGCTGACGTAAGCTCATTTTAATAGAATGCAAAGTTTTGACATGAAATTCTTGCGTAAAAAAATATAAAACACCTATCTACATATTTCTAACACGCAATTTTTTCTATTTCTTTTCAGGTAAGACAGCCCTCTTCTTGACTAAACCGAGTGAGTACGTAAGATTAAAAAATTTGATTGGGAAAGCTTTTAAAAATAAAATTGACCGTCTTTTTACACGCTTTCCACTTTTTTGCCGTTCCATGTTTAGTTGATTTAATTAAATAATTCAAATTATAGAGTTATTTAAAATTGAAATGATTTTAACAACAGTTTAAAAGATTTAGCCAATTCATCATTGGATTTAAAAATTTAAACATTTCTTTTTTTTGTTCCGCGTTTAGTTTCAAGTTAGATTTAATGTAATAGAACAAATTATGGGGATAATTTAAAATTTAAATCATACAAGACTTTTAGCCTATCTTCTAATACTAATAACTATTGTCTAATAGTTATAAATCTTATTTTGTAGTAAGAATCAGTGTTTGCCACACAACTTATTTGTGGGCGACTCCTTCCGGTCATTCCTTCGTTTAAAGCCAAACCTTAATAACATTAGAAGATTTAGTTGCTTAGGTTGTGCTGAATTTTTGCTTATCAAATAGTGAAAGTGAAGGTTTTGACAACCGTTTGTTAATTCACTTTTTGAACTTGTGTTACAAAACATGAATTTATGAAATACCCTTGCAGAGGATTACTCCCAAGAAACTGGAAAACAATACATTGTTGGGTATTTGAATAAAATGTTAATTAAGGTGTCTAATAAAAAAGGAAACCGACCGGAAACAAACAGGAAATAAACCAATTAAAATTAAAGACGTGGAAAAGAATTTTATATTGCCGTCTCAGAAAGCTAAAGTCCGATGTCTGTGATAGAGTTAGAGTTGGTTACATATCTGTATCTATTGCAACAATAAGAATTACAGAACCTACAAATAGAAGACCAAATAAATTTGAATGAGAATACTATATGATCATTTAATGATCATTTTGATTGTATCTTCCGGCTGGTAATTGTGAATTTGTGCCAAAAAGTTTCTTCCAGATGCAGGACTTTGTACCTGGATTTTTTTTTTCATTTAGAGTATTTCGACTGTGTCATGTAGTTTTTTCGAAGCATCTCGTGCGCATGTTGCTAATATTGTACTATTTAGCGATGATTCTGGGGATTTTTTCAGTACTGAAAATTCTAATCACTTCATTATTAATAATGATTAAACTACTTTAATTGCGGTTTACTACTACCAACTATTCAACAATTCAGTGTGAAGTGACTTGTAGTTTTCTGAATCATTATGATAATCTAAGAAGATTGGAAGAAAGAATTTCAGTAGAAGAATTTCTTCTTCTGTCCAACTTTTAACCAAATAAGAAATCACAATAATATACATTTTTAGAAATCTGTGCACTCCTTGTGTCCACTCCTCAGTTATCTAAATATCAGTTAGAGAAAATGTCCCCAAGTAAAATAGGTGGTATTTTCCCGTGATCCTACAGCTAAAGTTTCTAATCTAACTATAACTTTCCAAGATTTCCGTAATAGATAAACTGCATGACATTGTATGATTAACTACAATAAACTATGAAGATTGGTATAACAAATTGGCTCGGTTCATAAAGTTGACAATGGCTATACGGATGCAAAACCAATGGACAGATACTTTTAACATATTAAGAGGTCAGAAATCTGCAACTTTCTTATCTCTTGACATTTTACAACTAACAAATTGTTAGCTTGATTACAAAAAATAAAATAACGCTGAGATCATTTTGACATAACTTCATTTCTTTGACTAATAATATCCAATCTCTGAATTAATTCACCTGAGCCTGTGTATTATTTTATTTTTTTGTGATCAAACTAACAATTTTAGGAGAAAATGTCAAGAGACAAAAAAGTTGCGTATTGAATCCCACTATTTAAATCAAAATGTAGACGTATTAAAAAGTTCTAATGCAAAGTATTATGGGGTGATTTTTTCAGCATCTTATACAAACATATTAGGTTTATAAAAATCGTCAAAAAATGTCACCTTATTAGAGTTATTAGTAATAGTTACCTGCCAAATTTCATCCTTCCAAATTCCCCCATAGTGGATTTGTTAAAAAAAAAACAATTTTTTTCCCCTAATTTTAAAGGGCTGTAACTTGGAGAAGTGGCTTTGACCAAAAAGTTATATGAAATCAACCCTTAAAATCCTTCGCATCAATTTAGATACACCCTGTGTAAAACAATTATAACATCCATTATATGACTGAGACCATAAAAAATATTAAGTATATTAGAGAGGAAAATATTATGAAAAATACTGAGGCTGATCAAAGAAAACAATACATGGAGGGTCATATGTAACTACGATTTATATCAATTCCCCAGAGAAGCCCTTTCGTACAATTCATCATATTTCAAAGGCTACAATGGATAGGATATGTTAGTAGGGTGGAAGAAGAAAAACTGCCAAAAAGAACTTTTAATACTAGAATGCATGAGAAAAGACCTGCTCATCAAAAAGCTGCGTAGATAGTAATAAGCGTTTTATCGCATACAACAACGTTTACAATTTTATACCAATAATACAATACATACAACCAATTTCTCTACTCTCCTCCGCCAGCTTTACACTCATCCATCTCTCAGCCCTCACCCCCTCCCCCAAAGTCTGCCTTGGAGCTCCATCACCTTCTCCCTCAACTCGCTGCGTCTTTTCAACAGGTGGTCCAACGTCTTGACTTGCTCCCCTGCACAGCTTACACCACATTTCGTCCTCATCCACCTAGTACTTATTTCCCCTTTCCTTGTTTCCACAGCGGAATCTGGCCACCAATCTTTTCCCCTCCTAGTCCACTTCCATCAAAATCTGCGTAGATAAAGTGTCTGATGATGCACGCAAGGTGCTGATGAAGCGAAGAACAGGAAACAAGAAGGACACAACAAAGGAAAAGAAGGCAGAAAAGAGGCCAGGCCCCATCTTGGGTTGTGGTGCCATTGTAAGGAAGGATATATTTTCATTTCAAAAATTGAATATGTATCCTTGCAAAACTTTATAAATGGTACCCAATACTTTAGGTTGAAAACTCAAAGTTGTGTTATGTGGAACTCGAAATAGAGATTAAAAACTGTCTTCAGTTGCAACGTATCTAAGGATAACCTCAAGATTTGTTTATTCGAAATTATATCCTTGGAAACTCTTGTAAAAGCTTGCAATAATTTTATCGATATTTCCAGTCTCTAATCTAACAATAAGTACGTTTTTTCTCTTCTGTAATAATATCTTTTTTTTTGTAAAATTCTTTCCTTCGCAATGCCATATCGTAAGAACTATCCTTTCTGGGTAATTGTAGTACACAAATTTGACACTAGTATATTACCGTAATAATAATAAACCACTGACTTACAAAATGGCAGATACATTAAAAAAATTATGTGTAACCAAAATACCCAGTGATCGCTGTAACTGTTGACAATCAGCGATGTAATGTGTATTGTAGTTTACTTGACTAAGGACCGGTTGTACAATATACCGATAAACTTCCCGACAGCGTTATCTGGCAGATAAGTTAGTTTGTACTGTATTACAATGTACGGATATTTTTGTCGGTGAGATTATCGGCAGGATAACTTATCGGGTACTTAGCGGTGCCGATAAGACACTTATCCGCCAGATATTTATGGTTACAAGGTTTTTATATAAAAACTTTGTATGATTACTGCATAGTTTAACCTATAACATTAAACGTTAACCTTATATGTACGATGTCAGTGAAAATTTTTTTAAACAATTTAAATTGTCAAAATCATAATTCAAACTTCAAAGAAAGACGTTGGCGTTACCATTCTACGGCATAAATCACTAGATAAGGGGAAAAACTACTACCAACCGACTCTTATTCCGCCGATAGCAATCCTACCGACAAAAACAGTTTGTACAACAGCGAATATCTTTATCCTCCTGATAAGTTTATCGGGCGGATATATATCAGGTAGATTTATCGGTATATTGTACAACCGACCCTAAGCAAATTAAATATCTGGAACAACACCTCATTAAATAACTTAAATATCTGCATTATTCGCGAAAAATTAAATATGACATTGATGTAATTCATCGCCTTCATCTCGTTCTCTCATAACGAATGATGTTATTAATAAAAAGCCTTTCATTAGGTTCGAAGATATATCGCAGAATCCGCAATAACGGATCACTTCGTTAAAATATTTCTAACATAGGGAATCGATTATTTATCAAGGAACATCTTACAATAAATAATGTAGCCTTCTTGAAGTCCACATAATGTCTGGTCATGGATGTGCTATTCCTGTGACTCGAGATGACAACTCTATTATTAAAAGCTGATTACTTAACTCTGATTTTGTCGACGAAATCATATTTAACTTAATTTGTAATTACAGCATAATTACATTATAGCTATAATTACTTCAGTTTTCGTAATAAAACAGATAAGTTTTGATCCAAGTCATTAAACATGGTTCACAATACAAATTTGTTTTACTGAAACATATTTGAACGACTCGCTCTTAGATAGTGAGAGTCTTAGAATTTGAAGTTCTATGGCGGAGGTCTCCTTATAGTTGCAATCTCTCAATTTACACAGAAAGGTATAAAAATACATATATCATTTAATAGATATAAACTGAATTCATCATTGTTCACTAAGCTTTAGTTATAACAATCACAAAGTATTATAAAATTACAAACTATGTTGTTTACCTCCGTTTACCTCGCCAAGTAACTGTCATTGTTAGTTTCATAGGTTCATACATAACGACCTCGTATTTTGACTATAACTTTCGACTGGTTCTTGTTGATGGAACAATACCTTCAGTTTTTACGCTTCCTTTTTTCTTTCATCATATCTTCATTTTGAGCCTATTCCCTTCCAGTTGTTCCTCAAGCGATTGTTCTTCTCTTTCCTTGACTCTTTCATTAACTTTGGTTATTTCTGTCGTTAAATATACAGTCTTCTTTGCTTATGGTAGTTGTATCTACACCCAGTCAAGAGATGATCTTTGATGATAAAACTTTTATAATTTGTTGTGCGATGGTGAAGGTGACCTTGTGGCTGATTTATGTTTATCTGGTTTTTGATCA